ATGAGTGGAGTCAGTCTAAGCCCACAATAACCCAATGAGTAAATTCTATTGAGGCCGAGTTTCTCTCCACTAAAACCGATTCCTATGAATCAAATGCGATTGCTTACGCATTTCGGACATTGAAATGCACACTTGACGCGATACTTGATAATGATAATAATGGTGAAAGAAGTAAGAGTATTTCATCTGAATAGTAAGATCGAATTCGAATCTATTCACTAGATAGCAGAAATCGTATCTTTCTCTGTCATTCCCTGGCTGATTAATGCATTCAATCCACAATGTCAATGGCAACAATCCGTTACCTGCCGCTTCTCCCTTCACTACTCAGCTTCATCGCATAGGTTCTTATCTCTATTGAATCATTGCTCAACCCGTCACATCTTTTCACAAGCTGGTTATATTTGTGCGATCTCTGTAGTTTAGTGAATGAGACATGTGGTGATATGGAGTTCCACAAGTTCCCACAAGCGATGATAACTCTGTACCGGGTGCTCCATGAGGTATGAAGTAGAGGTCGGTAAAATATTCAACCCACGGTTGTCCTAATGTTGAATGTTGAATGAGGGAAGGGGTTCAGTGGCACCGCAGATGCCACTTTGAAGTATGTTTCCCGTATGTGTTTCCACGAAAGATTGTGCAAACGAGCTACCTATTACAAAGTTGGAGAGCAGTGACATTTTTTCTACTCTGAACTGAGTTTGGCGCTGTTGTAGACATTTCACATTATTACTCAACTTCTCCATAGTTCGCAGTGATCAGTTGGTCCTACCAATGTATGCAAACTAGAATGGCTGAACCCATCCCCAAGTATGTGCGTGACTCTATGACTCAGCCCACATCACACACTTTGACCGCATCACGCAGATCGACTTCGGCCATCGCACGTCATTTGGTTGAAAGCGGCCATAGGGTAGACCTTACGAACGCGTTGTCGGTTTTGTTACGTCATCGAGACAAACACCGACTAAGGATACTCGAGGCATTATCGATCGCTCACAACAAACCCACACTGTGCATCCAAAAACGTATGACCTTTACCCTTCGCCTTCCCTGGCTGTAACCAATCACGCGCATCACACACTGTACACAATCACACACACACACATGGTTAATACTAACTAGGTTTCTTAATTCGCTTCACTTGTCTATCTTGTTCGATGTTATACGTACGCGACCGGTGAGAGTATACGAAAGGAATTCCTCTCACGCTGTTTGTCTTCTGACTTGCCTGTTCAAACTGAGATATATCGTAGTTAAGAGGTCTTTCCCATGTAACTCTATGCTCATTAACATTTTAAGATGCAACTTTTGACAGTAATAGAATTTGGTTGAAGCACACCAAGATTCTTGAAATTAATACTTTTATGTAATCCTCATGGAAACCTTTGTCTCATTTGCCCACACTCACTAAAATGGTGGAAAATTCAGGCTTAGCACTTGTCGTTTCATTGTTTATGCATACACATACACAATATATATATTTATGTATATAATATATATGTATATATATATATTATATAATTTGCCACTTTGATCCACTTCCAATTTTGAATGCACACTGGTATTAAGATTACATAACGTCCTAATTTAAAAACGGAAATCACCTCGAAATAGGATTACCAATTTTGATTTATTTATCAACATCCAAGTGAAGTTAAACGAACTATTTCTCTTACGGAGCAACCACATTCGTAATTGGAATGTTTGTGTTGGTTACAATAACATACCGTATATAATTGGAGACACTTATGTCAATCAAGGTAGCAAAAGGAGAACAGGTTTACCATAATTTTAGTGATCGCATTAATTATCATGAAAGGACCCTTCGTTTAGAAGTAATTATTTGGAGGTAATTAGAGTATTTCATGCAGTCAAGACTGAAATGGTTCAATCCGAAGGTCAAATCAACGTTTAGAGAGAACGTGCACAAAGAAAAACAGCAATCCACGGTAAATTTGATATCCCGTAGAATACCACCCACCCCAAAAATGATGACTACAAAGCATGGATCTAGCCCGATTAGATAAATTCATAAAACGATTGTTGTGTTCAACTAGACCAGCACAACAATGTCTCGGATCACAACTTTTCTTTGCCGAAAAATTTCGATTATCCTATGTGTTATTGTTTGCACATATGCGGTTCGCGGCTACGAGGCGACGTGGTTTAATGTGACAGACGGTGAACTCTACGTATCTAGTCCGATCCAAATGCAAATGTACGTGTCAAATATGATCTATGTTCAGACCACGCTGAAAAACATTCACATTCGACTGGCCACAAAACCAAGTCAAACCACAGAATGGATCAATCACCCGGAGATATATGACACTAAACTGACTGGAGAAGGAATTTACGAGGCCCGGATTCCCTACTACATTCCTTTCTACGATCCGAATCTGAATTCGGAAGACTGGCATCAATTGCACGTCCTCGTTCTACTCTGTCCCCGACGTTACTGTCCAGTTCACATGATCAAACCGGTCGAATTGCAGTACACAGTGAATCCAATCAGCCTATTTATCTCGGCTGAAATGGAGAAAAGTGTGTATTATCCAGGAGAGTCTGTTCGTGGCCGTTTTCATGCACTCAGTTCCGAAGACACTTGGCACATGGGAGGTATAATGAAAACCCCGGAATATTATGTTGAACGATTGGACCCGTATTTCAAAAGACATGTTAGGCAGTCCGGAATTATGACCCCATTCAGTTCGGATTTTATTTGCTCCTCTATATACATATACGGACCGGATGAAACAATTTGGAAGAAATGGTATAACCTAACCGCTAGCAGACCTATCTATTTCAAATACGATTTGGACACAGATGCTTCCAAAGGTATTTGGTCTGTTGAGATAGAATGCATCAATCAGAAGAAACGGATGCTGTTTAAGGTTGAAGAGAGAACAGCTGCGCCATTTCTCACGCACATGATGCTACCAAGCGAAGTGTCGATTGATAGTCCAATAATACGATCACGTGTCTGTGCACGAAGTCATACGGGTACTACTCTAAACGGCGAGGCAACCATCATGATTTGTGTGTGCGACAAACAAAACCGCATACAATTACCAATAAATCCAAGTGATGCAGAGGATCTCTTTGATCGACAATACTGTCCCGCATATTTTGATTCTGATGCGCGAAAATGTGCTGTTCGAACGAAGAAATTACGAGACAGAGTTTGCGAGAATTTCGAGGTCTCCACTGCTACCTTTTCTTTCAATCATTTGTCATTCAATCACCAAGCCTACTATGTTCTATTCTGTCATCAAGTGATATCTGAAAGGACCCGTGAGAAAGTATCTAAGTGTGAGGCCTCACTCCCAATATCTGGTCGAGCCGCATCTCTTAGTCTGGATCTTGATTATGCATATCGCCGTGGTTTACCTATTCACATGGTTGCCACATTGACACATCCTGGACTGAAAACGTTGGCGGGACACGAAATTGAAGTTGAAATTAGTCAACTGCCAGCCGCTTGTGCGTTTGCCGAGGATATACCCACTTCTCCTGACGCTTTTGTGACCTATTTTGCCCGAGTTAAGAATTTCACATCAGATCGCGGTGAAGCCGTGTTCATATTTCCACCAGTTCGAGAAACTCCATTTCTGCAAGTACGCGCTTTTGTACAAAAGTTTAGCTTGGAGAAGTTGATTCACACCCAAATCGGTTACGCAGAAGACGGTTTGGCTGCACAGAAAATACTGAAACCCTGGCCCAGTACTTCAGGGGCTTTAATGCAAGTTTGGCTGGGTAACCAAGGTCGATTACGAGCAAGTTGTAAAGGAGATCCTTTGCCCGTTCGGTTATTGTCAAACCGACCGCTTACTAATAAGACAATATGGTTAGAGGGGGTTTTTAGTGGTTTGCATCTGGTTCAACGGTTCCCTCCTGTACGTAACTGGATTCCCATCCATAATCTGATAGATTCATTTTTTGATGAATATATGGAAAACCCGAATGATTGTGTCCCACAAGATGATGAACTTAGAGGACACTATGAATGTGAAGAACCAAAATCAGACAGAATCATTTGTCACGAAGGATGGGAAGGTGACGACTGTTTAAATGCTATTTGCTCAGAACACTGTCATCCGGCCGGTAGCTGGTGCAACAAGCCCGGTGAATGTCAGTGTAAAAGTCAATGGACCGGGAAGGATTGTGCTGAATGTACAGTGTGCATGCGCGACTTATGCAGCACTATTGACTACCTATATTGTGTTTGTGAAATGCCAAGTGTAAATTATACATGTGAAGCACTGACTACAGTAAAACAGAAGAGGAAGCTACCAAAACCACGTCTTACCATTTATGAGAGAACCATCAATGTTACAGTGATTGATCGGTACATGACAGGAGCCTATGTGACTTTCAATTTCTTCGAGCCGTACGGGGAAGGAAAATGGGAGCGCATCTCTGCTGGTGTTTTCATTGAGACTTCAGACTGCTACCCTCCAACATATTACGCACCTAGAAAAATCGAAACGGTTGAGACAAATGATACCACTAAAACTATATTGGTTATTCGGCATCCCAAGGACTACGCGAAATCAGTTGAGCTGGATCAATGCCATTTTCGGACAGTTGCTCCGCCAGACTGCTCAGATTTAGAACGAAATCAGCTGGACCAACCTCAGTATATTCGTGAGTTGCAAAAGATCTGGCAGTTACCATGGGATTTCCGATCGGTTGACAACCCAGAAAGGATGTTTCAGTCAGCGGGACTGATAATGAACTCATCTCATTATCTGGCTCGGGTGAAGTTGGACAGCGCTTGCCCCAATATGGTTATCACAACAGATTCCTATCCTGATCGACTGAAGTTTGATTCACGTGCTAACATGGCACGCAAAATCGAAAGAAAGCGTGCCAAACCGGACTATGTCTATGGATTTTATCAGCCACAATGGATATTCAATTCGGTAAACTGTACGCATGACGTAGCAGCCGGCCAGCGTGTGGCTACGCTTGAAGTGACAATTCCAACACACATTGAGGTGCATGGGGCNCACTACAAGACACTCAGGATTATGGATTAGTGAGTACCATCCGATTGAAAAACCATGGTTGTTTCGCTCCAAGTTGTTGGGCCCTAAAAGAGCTGTCCAAGGTGAAGCGGTCCATTTTCGAGTGCTGGTAGAATCCAGTAAGATTTCCGTATGTGGTCAGGCAGATATTTCTATGTATGGACCAAGGGAGGATTTCAGTGAAGTCACGANCCCGATGAACAAAAGATTGTAAACTTTGGTAAAGTTGTACGAAGATATGGATTCACCCATCTTACCACAAAAACCGCTTTTATACCACATTCTCCGATGTGCAACCTCTCTACCCCACGAATACCACAAGATCTCCGTTCAAACATGCTGATCAAATACGACAACAGTGAAATTCACGTTCAACCCGAAGGTTTTCAGCAAACGCTTCATTTTCGCTCATTCCTATGCACTGCAAATCAGAGTAGCTCGACTATTCAAATTAAGAGGGAAGCTCAACCGAGGTTATGGCCTCTAATAGATGCCATCGGACCGATTCGGTATCGTTTCATGTGCAGTTTGAATGTGTTTTGGGAAACGCTCAATCGATTACACGAAGCACAATCTTTTGAGTTCAGTACTGGTGAACAGTTTGCTTTGAATTTGCTCAGCCTCGGTATACACTACTCATATGTAACAAACGAACGTGTAGGCATTATCTACACTTTGGGACAACAGGCAAACCCATTACGATATAAACTATCGTACTTTTACGATCAGTTTGATCGTTTTCAGCACGAGGATGGATCAGTCTCAAATTACGGTACCAGAGATATGAATGGAAGTGTATGGTTATCGGCACTGATGTTACGAGGCCTGGCATTGGCAGGTCGTACGCGAAATTATCTGGACCACTACAAAATCTCAGAGCTGGTAGATTTCTTGGCCACAAGTCAAAGGAAATACACCGGCTGTTTTCGGGAGACTGGACTAACAATGCCATACCTGTTACACGGCACACACAGTTTCCTCAATCGTGCACTGCACAAAACTGTGCTCGCAGCATACGTGCTTGTGGCACTGAGTGAAAATCCAATGCCGCTAAGCTTTCCGCATCATTCGGATCTTCAAACAAGTGCTAATCAGATTGCTACGGGTGCCATTAACTGCCTGCTTCCAGTTCACACTAATCGTCACGTTAAAAATTTGGAAGAAATGTCTAACTATGCACTTGCTCTGGTCACCTATGCAACTCACTTCATTCCCAATATTTGGGATAGGATAAACAATAGAACGATGCCTATGTTACACAATCGATTACGGACCATACACAGTCCGCATGGAAACATGCTTTATTTGCCTGAAAACGGTGATACGGAGTCGACCGAGACCATCGTAAGTCCGGTCACGATGGAAGCAACGGCGTACTACTATTTGGTCTTGTCAAGCACGAGTGATGCTATGGAGAAAAAGGTGGAACTTATCCGGTTTCTTGTTTTTCATCATGACTTTCATCCGACAACTTGGCTCACGCATGCCACAGTTCAAGTATTAATGGCATTGGCGGATTTCTCATCTAAACATTTAGATATACACGGACTGAGTACACTTGCCTTGGGATGCCAAGCACAGATTAATCCGGCAAGACATCGACAAGAAATGTGGTTGGCTGAACCAGACAAGCATCTGGCAAAATGGAGTTCCGCCGAGGAAATGACAGCAGAACAGATGCATGAAATAGTTTTCAACATCAAAAACTTAGTCGATCGTCAATGCGTTCTTGCTCAGACCGAATTTACTTACACTGTTCCTTATGAACATGCGTTTGAAGAGTCCTGGGCCAAATTTCGCGTGCATGCTAGACATTGGGGTAGGGCGCATTGTATCAGTCCCACGGTTGAGATTTGTATGGGGATAAATCCACCTGGTGATCGGTTTTATCCTAGTTTGCCAATGGACGTCGGCACAGTGGTGATAGAAATTTGGCCTCCGGCCAGTTATTCCATACCTGAACGAAACTCATCATTTTGGCGTACTTATAATCAGTCTGCTGAGGACAGACAGAAGCCTAGACATATCGATTTCGGACCCAACGGCGAAGTGCTCTTTCTATTTGATGGATGGAGTGAAGAAGAGGCTCGTGAAAAGATGTACCTAATGGACTTACGAAGATGCGTTCAGGTGCAGTTCAATCAGGTGTACTATGCTGAACACGCTCAACCACTCGTGTTCAAAGGCTACGACCTGCACCGACTTTATCCGGTTTCACGAGGCATATACCGATTCCCCGATTGTCGATCGTCGCATAATTTGGATGAACGAGCTGTACAAACAGAGGAGTTCGAATCAACAATCAATGCCCCATGTCCAGTATGCATTTCCAGTTTACAAGATACACTGTTTGCCGGAAAGCAGTTTGAAGATTTTGTCGGTACCAAACAAGCAGATGCAGTTCTATTCAGACCCATCGTTGATCTTTTCAAATTTGAGTCAACCGTGATGCTTTTCACTACGAGAATGAAGAACCAGTCAAGCTATTGGTTCACCCAAGTGCGTTTACCGAATTCGCGGTGTCACTGCAACATACCATATGGCACTAGGTATGCTTTAACCTTCTCCGATGTTCAATTTGACTACTCTTCTAGAGATAATGCATTTGATTTCAAACTGTCCGAGCATACGAACAACGTTTATTTGCTCTTCATTCGCAATCCATATGATTTGATTGATTCCCTTCGTAAGGTCGTAAATCAATGCTTTGTGTGTCAGACCCTTATGCGATTGCTACGCAGAATCGACTGAACTGTTTTCAGGTGGAATACAATGCCCATCAAATCACCCTTTATCAGTCTCTCCTGTTTTGAGACTCGAACACTTGTGGTTGCTTTAAGTCAATAAAACAGATTTCTTCCGCTTTTCAAATAAAATTTGTACTTTCTGGGTGTTTCTGTGGCACAAATGAAACACATGATTTAACTGGCTAAAAACCGTATGATTCATGAAAAATCCTTGTTGTTTTCCTTTCGGAAATCACCAAATGTGTACTGGAATGAAACTTGTGAAATTTCTAATGATTTTGAAGTAAAAGAAGGCCGGACGCGTGGGATGGGAATACCTACGTCTGTTTATCTGACCAAAACGAAATAGAATGTTTTGAATTTGATTAGAAACTGCATTTCTACCGCGTGCTTTTATCTAAACACAGATTCATAGACAGCATGGTATGTGTACGAAATATGTGAAACTTATAGTTAAATGTAGGCATGCAATCAAAGCATTGGACGTGGACCGTTTTTCGGCTATCATTCGGACTAATCCTGGCACAGATAGAAAATAAAGCGCACTACCGATGAGTTCGTTCAAAGATGAAACAACTAATTAACGGTTTTTGTCGCTCATAATACATAAATTTGACATGAGTACATCAAATTCAAATGTTGAGGTGAAAATATAGACGAAGACCGATGGTAAGTTCTATAGAATCGAAATACAATATATTCCCGAGATCGATTTCAATGTACGCCAAGTAAGAAGAACATCCATTCGGGCGGATTTTCAGTATGAACTTGCATAAGATTTTGACTATTTAAGGAAAAAGCAGTAAACCTTAACCCTGAAAAGATATCCGCTTGGACTGTACGAGTTACGTAAGCTTACTCCGTAAAAGTTGAGATGCGAGTATTTTTACAACTTATGCATTAGAATTATTCAAACAGAAGAAAATAGTTGCCGCATTCCAGTTGTTTTGGCCCGGTCCCAATCTACTTAACAAACCGAACCATGACGTCGATCATTTCGTGATTACGCAACTGGGCGTGATACGTCGTACGTGGTTCCCCCTCCCTTCTCCTTTCTCTGTCTACCCCTGTTCAACTTGACAGACATCGTTTTTCTTTCCTCAAGGAACCAATCATACTTATTTCTGCCCTATATACAGATATGCGAAACTGTAAATGCCTGAATACGAAGTTACGAAAACGAGCTTATTTGCTATATTGTTTGTCCTGTGATATTCTTACGGCAATCTTCCATATCTCCATTCGCAAATTTCCTCGGTAGCCAATATGTGATAATCAAACGGTATGCTCTGTGGAAGTTATTACAATGGCAGAGAATAAAAAGGTGAAATAATTGGTCAGGAGTGAAAACGCTGCTCAAAAGGCAACTACTTGCTAGTTAACAATAACAGAGTGGATCCGAAGTTGGATTAAGGCGCCTTATGGATTCTACCGTTGTATCGACAGTTTACGTTACATGAAGAACTTAGGAAGCGATATGAACCCTTTGGTTTATAGGAAGAATGAAAGGAGCCCCGGGATCATTAAAAGAAGAAATAGCCTTGCTGCAAACTGATTGTTGTGTTTTTCAACACACAATCCACTACAATAAACTTCATTTTGTTTTTGTATGATTAGTAGCCCCTGGAATATTCTACCCCATAGTTTCACCCAGAATGAGACTTCGAAACCGAATGTAACACGTTATTTCACCTTGACAACTAGCACGTAAGTGCCATTGTGAACGAATCCAACAGAAACGTTTGCAGTACGGTGAACAAATGACAGTGTGTACTTCTCATGTACACAATGAAAAGACTTCATTCACTTTTGCGTGGAGTGGAGAAAGTTGACTAGAGAAAATTCTTTTAGGTTTCTGTTCATCTGTACAAAGTTGCTATGATAAATGTATCATATTCAACAGAATAGCTAATGTGTTGAGTTTGAATGCACAAAACGATAGTTTGCGAATTTTATTAAAGACATCTTCAATGTGGTAGTGCCATGAAAGGATACAAGAAGGAGTTATCCAGAGGTGGATTTCCATCGAAACCCGTGTGATGCTATGTGCCCTATAAGCCTCATTATTTTCTGTTTACCCAACGTTACGGGTGGAAAGCAGTTCTGTGAACTGCCCTGGGTGGGGGAGGGGGTGTCGAGGAGTTGAAGACAGTGCCGTTAGAGAAATATGAATGCAGTATCATCGTATAATGAATCCCAATCCACAAAAGAGTTTAAGAATTGTAGTTATGCCTAGTAAAGTTGATTCATTTTCTGTTAGTTCCTCCATGAAGTCAGACCGCACTACATCTTCAGCTACTGATATCTACATTAGCTACATTCACCTAAAACATTCTACAAATTCCATACAGTTGTACCAGTACGATTCATTCACTGCTAGGCAATGAAAAAAAATTGTATGGGTGAAAGGAAACTACAGACCACACTCGTTGTATAGTTGAATTATTACACAAGAGCTGTCAAGGTAATTTGAGAGCTGGGGGTTTGAATATACAAGCATTTCCACTTTATTTTCAACTCCTCCATGGTCACTGGCTTCTACTCTTAAGCGGCCCGGTTTGCAGAAAACGATCTTTGCGTTGTTTTACCGTTAAACCGCTTTGGTTTTGGCTTCGTCAGAAATGAGAGACGTTTGAATTCTTGTCATGTTTCCTAAACCCTCACACCTGGCGCATTGAGCCAAACCAAATACGCTCCGTTAAATCCATGTGCGAAATGTTTTTCACGATCAGTGAAGGATCACATCAGAGCTATCAGATTTCCTCACCAGATGGAAGGGCCATTCGACAGGCAGGGTGAATGGGCCTGTAAGTCGACCCCACGGTCTGCAATTTGACACACTTTTCATCGGATAAAAGCGAAAATGAATCGCATCCTAACTTTCTAATCAGCAGTATTTCTGGTTTATTTAATCACCTTGTAGGTTAAACTACGTTAAAGGGATTGGCGGAAATCACTGAACTGTACTTGTCTTACTCTGATTATGTTTACTGATTAAGCGGTCATCAATGGACTTGCAACCACAACCACTTTGATCTTAGCGATTGACGAAAAAGTATGAGAGTGTAGGACAAAACAAACGTGGGTTGTCAAATTCAACTTACTTTTTCATTGTGCTCCGAGGGTGAGACAACTGTGCTGACGACAGAGTGTTCCAACGAGTAGTTCTGGTTTCCGAATATGGACAGGATTGGCGTTTGGTTGCGGGACAACGACGTGATTTATACGACAGCTTACAACTGGATGCTAAGGAGCTGTAGTATGGATTCGGATCGAAAGATGGAGCAAGAATGAGACGAGTATCAAGTGGGTGATAACCTGGATAGCAAAAGACGCACATTGGATCCGTTGAGAATCCAAAGTAAAGTGCAGTTTGAGATGTCACGTACGACAGTTGATAATATTTTTTACATTGCTGACTGATTATCAATAATCTCAATCTCACTCCACCTGGAATGAATAAAACGGAGTATACGCAGTATGCACTGCCAATGTTTGACGTAGATCGTTGGAGAGGTTGTTTGTTAGATCGATGAAACAAACTTCAACCTGTTTTACACCCGGAAAATGGGTTGGTTTACAAAATTAAAGCGTCCATGCAAGCCGGTATTCAGAAGCCGAGAGAGAAACTTGCTTCAAATCGGTGCCATGACTGAGTTGGGAACGAAATCTTGCTCGATCAACGGGTAACATATCAATTGGAAGGCTACAGACAGCTGAGGCAAGCAGGGTCTGAAAACTCAGACAAACGGTAAAATATGGAAAAATTGTAGCTCGGGATGCGGATTTCGGTGTTCATGTTTTCTTCGAGCTGGAAATATTGTTTGCACATGTTTCGTAGTTAGGCTACTTGCCCTGATGGTGCGGCTCAGCCTGGTCAAGAAACATCCGCGGACAACACTTCCATCTAGGAGAACATAGGAACACCAACATCAGACAAATGATAATCATTAAGAAGATCACTGTGGTGCGACAGTGTGCGGTGATTCTAGAATACGATATAACGCTACGAGGTGAGGGGTTTACTGTTTATGGACCTTGAACAACAGCTCAATATTGTCAACCAATCAGAAGCCGTGCAGTTCCAACGGAAGCTATATGACGTAGTGTGCAAGCAAATCATTGGGCCAAGACCTGTTTAACTAATGGTATTTGTTCGTACATATTAGTTAATCCCATTGGTGTTGCTCAATAAACTGTCCGCTGCTTCTGTGATTTTTTTCTTGTATACCGGTGAAGGGAGATTCCAGTACACGATTGTTAGTGTGATTACGTACTTCATTTGCAACCGGGATTGGTGGTCCGAAATCCGTACTCATTTCTGTTACATCTCTGTTGCATCGTGGGATTCCTCAAATACCATTCACGTTTCATAGCCAACTTCGCTACGAAGGCCCAACTGCAGTTTTGCAGCTCAGTCGGCAGTAGAATGGAAGTAGGCCGGCCGGTGTGAACAAATTCTACGTAAAATCATCCAGATGATTGTAGTATTTGGAATAGGAATAGGAATCAAATACCGAGAACTCGGATTCGGACTGAAAACCCACTGAATGGGGCAAAGTCAGGTAGAACCAAAACGAGCTGTGGATACAGTTAATTCTATTCGAAAAATAATGCAAATAAATATTACAAGCATCGAATAATCATTGGTCAATTCTTAAATGTTCAATCGATAAAGACTTGGATCGTTTGTTTACCTTCTTGCATTCAGCCAATCTCATTGATGCCACAGGATTGAGACCACAGGGTTGGTCGGGAAATCCGTTTCCTGATTGGTTAACTGGAAGCTGTACTGTGGCCCACTCGTTGAACGATCACTACCCGGAAAGAGCGGCAGTCGCCTCGTTTTCTAAGGCGAACCACACAACGTTGTTTGCGGAAGCTTCAGATGTCGGCATTGGTGCCGCATTTGAACAAGGTGGATGTACAACTATCTGCTTTTCTCACTTGCTGAACATGGCAGAACGGGGATTTTCGCAAACGTAGAAGGCAGCGTTTGACATG